GTGTGTGCACGCATGAGACAGAGAGGAGGAGGAAAGGCATACTGAAACATGTTAATACACCTTTCACCTCGTAGAAGTCTTTAAAAATTACCCTTTTCAAAATGTCATTTAAAAGAAAGACATTGTTTACTGAATTCACTGAAACTCTAATGTGATACTTCTATTTACAGCCAACTATTCTTGTTTTCTGCTGCACGTTAACTGAAAAGCGAATCTGGTCAAAATATTCATTATTACTTGTATCTTTCTTGTATCTGTCAAGCCTCCATGTCTTCTTCTTCTTCTTCTTCTTCTTCTTCTTCTTCTTCTTCATCTTCTTCTTCTTTTCTTCATCTTCTTCTTCTTCTTCTTCTTCTTCTTCTCTTCTTCTTCTTCTTCTTCTTCATCTTCTTCTTTTTCTTCTTCTCGTTCACTGGCTGTATCTGGCAGAAAGTTCTGTGTTTTTTGTGTGTCTACCTCTGGACTTTAGTCTTGTTTCAGAACCTGAGTGTTGCGTGCACATCTGTTTAACAGATCTGAATTAACTGTATGCAGACTGTTGGTTCCCTTCCTCCCAGGCAGATTCACTTCATCTTTAAAGGTAGCTCCCAATTAGTCAACTCTTATGACATGCTTGAGTTGAGTTGAGTTGAGTCAAGAATTGACATCACAGCACTTGGAGTATCCCCATGCGCGCTCCGTTCCCATCTTCAGCAGCCAGCACAGAGTTCCAATACTGATGGTACCGATCACAATCTGAGTCTATTTTTGTTTTCCCTACAACGGGGCCCCAGACCCACACTGGAAAAGCTCCTCTGTTATATGTAACATTCTCTCATTTTATTTCAGTTTTTTTTTTTCTGATGAATCTCATTCCTCCAACTCAGGAACGAGAAAGAGTATTATTTATTTCACATTAATGACAATGTTAGGTTATTTCTCACCAGACTAGGTGTCACAACAAGCCCTGTCTCCAAGAAGGTATAGCTTTATGAGGCATTCTGAACACCTGGCCACCCCCTGATGGTCCTTGATCCTTTAGTCTTTCATTCCATCCAGCAGTTGGCATCAACAGTCGGTTTGGATCTCGTGTAGCCTCCACCTTCAAGTAAGAGAAAATCAGTTTCCTTATAACATTATACTAAACTACAATTAATTTCAAAACAAGACGACAATGTTACTTTTAACATTCACTGTTAGTTCTTGCTGACACTTTCTCAACTTTCCACATGATAATGTTACTTCTAACATACACTGTTAGTTCTTACTGACACTTTCCAAACTTTCCACATGATAATGTTACTTCTATAAGAATAAACTCCACAGGGGAGCATGTACAGCAGGGATCTACCAATCGTCAGTAGAAGTAATCTCTCGTCGAAAAATGTTTCGGCCCACGAGCTCCTAGACGTTTTCAGAGAGTGGGCCCACCTGAGTTCATGAAGCTCAGGGTTGGTTTCCCTGCTGCACGAAATTACCGGATGTTGTTCGGATAGGGACAAGACGAATTGGTGATTTTGAAGAAAGGTACTGTGAGATAAGAAGTCGTCGCGGTAGCATAATTAGAGCAGTCTGCATACCTGGACGACCGAGCGACAAGCTTACGATTGGTATACCGGACACATGTTGGACTTTTGTTAGCAGGTGGCAGAGGAACACTGGCAGACAACTCGGACATGATGGACTTTCAAGGGAAGAGAAACTCTTTTCACTAGACACCTGGACCAGCTCACCGAGGCCCGTCCCCTACTTTGTTTCATTGCGTCCAGAGCCAGCTCGAGGCACTCTCAGCAACCTCGCCCAGATGTTTAAGTGTCCGTTTGCGTTCATTACCACGCAATCCTAGTTCTTTCATCACATTGTAGTGTGAAGTGGAAACAAGACCTCTCGCTCCCACTTCGACGGCAAAGACATGTACTGTGTACGCCTCGTCTCTCCTCAGACCGGCTGCTAAATCACTGTATTTCTTGAGCTTATACATGTGATTTTTGTCCATTCGCGACTCATACGGGACGGTCAGCTCAATCAGGATGAGCTGCCATTTCTCCGCCTGCCATTTCTCCGCAGAGTGGAGAACTTTGTCAGGTCGCAGGCCGGTCTTCCGAATTGACTCAGGGTACCTTTCATGGCCCGGCAGATCAATCGCCAGTAACCAGTCCCTCGCAGAGTCTAGCATAGATGGAGCGAATGCATTTTTGTTGATTTTACCCTTTTGAATTTGCCCAGCCTTGAGGAAACGTATGGGGACGATGGTAGGACTGGCCCTCGCGTTAGCCCTCATCCTAGCCTGGTCAACAACAGCTGCCAACTTCTAACATACACTGTTAGTTCTTACTGACACTTTCCAAACTTTCCACATGATAATGTTACTTCTAACATACACTGTTAGTTCTTGCTGACACTTTCCAAACTTTCCACATGATAATGTTACTTCTAACATACACTGTTAGTTCTTGCTGACACTTTCCCAACTTTCCACATGATAATGTTACTTCTACTGTTAGTTCTTACTGACACTTTCCAATCTTTCCGGATGATAATGTTGCATGGTGCTCAAGGAGGGCATGGGAATCACAGCCCATGGTGATAGAGAGTGTAACGTTGTTTCCTATAAACCAATTTAGGCTAGGGGTGAAGTTCCTCCCCTTCAAAGCACAAAGCCCAGGGCAGTATTGTAGAGACTGTGTTGTTACCCTTTCATCGAAACCTCTCTCTGCCTGCATGTTTATTTCAAAGCAAAGGTAACACCAAAACTTGGAACAAATTATGCTTCAGAAGGAAGCTGCCAAATCAGAAAAAGAACTGCTTTGTTTGTTCCTGTTGGAGCTTCCCTCCTGGACCAGTTGCCAGCCAAGGTTAAGGGCCTGGTCTGCCCTGCCATAACACTGTTTTCAAGTTGCATTTCCTCTTCAATGGATGAGATAACAGAACTAATAAATAAGTTGAGTATAAATGTTAATGCTCTTTGGTATAGGACCATGGTTGTATTGTGGCTAGTGCACTTGTTGGAGGTAATTGTTTTCAATTTTTTTTTTTTTTTTTTTTAATATTCTCCTTAATGCGGGTTGTATCATGTCCACAAATCTTATTGCTTCCTAATGTGGAATTTTTACATCCCCATAGAAAGACAAAAAAGACCCACTGACCTTAACAAGCATGTAAAAGGTGACTAAATAAGTAACGGTTTATTGAAAATGAAAGTGTGGGGCAGAAAGATGCAAATATCCCCGCCTAACTGTAAACCACAACACATTGAGCTTATTGCCTTTTTAAGGGTGACAAAAGAAGGAAGAAGGAGAAGAAGAAATAGAAGAAGAAGTTAGTTACGCTGTAATCTACCTTGCATACTGTAAAAGACATCTACGGAAGGTTGGCATGAAATCAGCTACTCCATCTCACAGAAAACTTTAGATTCCCAAAAAGATTTAATCTAGTCCCTTCCATTTGTGACACAGTCTGTAAATGCCAATATACTTGCAGTGTCCTGTTCTCGAACAGCTTAGTTAAATTCCACTGGTTCTATGTGCACAAGCGAGGGTTTCATATGACCACAATGGCTTTTTTAAAGCTAAGCTGATGTCTAACTTTCCTGTAAACCTCAGTGTTAGAGGTCACAGAGTCACGGCATAAGTCGCCCAATACATACTGGGTTTTTTAGGCCCTAGGGACTGTATTACAGTTAATGCTTCACTTGGTTTGTTTTTACAGACGATTTCTCAGTATATCGTTATATATTTTGAAGAACGGTTCTCCTTAAAACTACAGCCACTTATTATGGAGTACGCCGGAGTTCAGTCCCCTGGCCGCATTGCAATTACGGAATGGAAAAGAGGGAACGAAACAAATGACGTAATTACTGTGTGTTGGCGATAGACAGCGTGAACCGATGATATAATTACTGTGTGTTGGCGATAGATGCACTGCTGTATAGGGTTAGGGTTAGGGTATTGGTACTCCTTAAAACTACGGCCACTCCTAACCCTACCCCTAACCCTAACCCGAACCCTAACCCTATTATGACAGTAGTGCATCTATCACTAACACACAGTAAGTACGTCATTTGTTCCGTTCCCTCCTTTCCACTCCGTAATTGCAATGCGGCCAGGGGACTGAACTCCGGCGAACCGGAATAATAAGTGGCCGTAGTTTTAAGAGGAGCCTGAAGAACAAATTTAAATGAAGATAAATACATTTTGCAAAAATGTATTAGTGTCCTGTGTAATATGGTTTTTTTTTTAAGGATTCTATTCCATAAATTTGGGCTTAATGTGAGTTGGTTGAAGATTTATGATGGCTTATGTAAAATGGCTGGCAAAAGGCAGAAGGAGAAATTGCCATTTGGTTCAGACCCAGAATGATGTCTCAGCTGACGCCCGAAGTCGCGCGGAACAACAACAGAAAATACCAACCTGAAATTTAATAGCTTCAAGTTTCTTTTCTTTTTCTTTTTTCCTTTCTTCCTTCTCTCTTTCTTTTTCAAATTTTTCATACAGACGCTGTGTGTCCTGCAAAGCAAAAAAAAAAAAAAAAAAACTGTGACAACGGTAATGAAATATTTGTTATTATTACACACTGCAAGATTATGGGAGGAATTCATCAATATTCTGATGTTTTTGTGAAAGTGGTGTGAGGGGGTTCGCTGCAAAAGTGAAGGGATGACGCTTGGCGCAACCAAATCTAGCGTATGATACCATGGCATCTGATTTGGGAGTGGAGATGGAGGCAGTCACAGGAAAATGACTCACATATTTATAGACCAATCAGCACTTGAGGTGTGACTGGGTCAACATAATGCCAGCTGTTTTTACTTCCCATGACATTACCTGGTTTTAGGTTTGTTCAACCTAGGAGCCAAGGGTATTTTTTGGAAAACTGTTATTCAAGCCTAAGATTACTTGGGCCAGCAGGCGCCACTTCTGCTCCCCCATTATTATGATAACAACAGACAATACAAAATGACTCTTAAAAAGGACACAGTATCTTCATTATGTCAAATTAACTAAATTAATTCATTTCCTTACCCTGTTTCTAAACCTGCTAATCTCCTTAGCTATGATCTCTCGTCTTCTCTCATTTTCCTCTCGCTTTCTCTCCTCATTAATCATGGCAAGAACTTCCTCCTCTATGTGCTTCTGTTTTTGGAACTCTTCAACCTTCCTTTTTGTCTCCAGCTAAAATGGAAACATTTATTGAAAAGTACACATTCACAAAAGTTGGCAAATAAGCCAAGCACACCTAGTTACATAATAATTTCATGTAAGAATTTTCAAAATAAGAAATAAAAGTATATGAAAAACAAAAGTAGCATTGCTTAAAATATTAAATACAACTATAATCAAGACAAAACATAATATTCAATGTAACAGCATCAAAATTATGCTGAAAACAGGAACAAAGCTTATTTAATGAGCTTGATGATCTCTCTTCCCACAGTGTTCAGAGGGAAAGTAAGAAGGACATTTAATCTGCTGCCACTTGTACCAATGGAACTGAAACTCTTTGCTGGCTGTTGAATATAAAGATGGGGCACTTTCTGTAAAATTCAAGTTCTGTGAAGTCAGTTCTTAATTCAACACACAACATTCTTCCTATAACATAAATATCCATAGTTGTAATTATCTGATATCAGCCACACTCTCCAACACTCAGGAGAAGAAGATGAGAAAGTAACTCATAAAATCTACATTTGTCTGGCCTCAGATGGACGGTTTCTTTCCCTAATACACATTTGACATTAACCCTGGGGGTTTCAAAGTAACAGCTTGCATTCCAAAATCAGATGTGGTTGCCTTAGTTGCAGTGTATTATGTTTTTCCATGCATACTCGCATATAAGCAGCAGACAGAGAGGGAACAAACAGCCCAGGAGCTACAAGCAACAGTAGGTGAAGTTACTGACTGGTGTGTGTACAGAAATGAAGGCTGTCACCAACCAGAAAAGGCGTCTTTTTTTGTGGTGTTCCCTATACAACAGGATTGTTAGAAGTGAGGTCCAAGGTCTCGCGACAGATGGTAGAAATGTCAATAGAGACAGCAAACTGAAGTATTTGGGAATCACATTTGACAGTAGCTTTCCTTTAAGGACCATGAGGAGATGGTTGTGACAAGATGCCAAAAAAGGACTCAATGCACTCAAGTCTATAGCTGCGATGGACACAGAGCAAAGAATGCTTTTCACACTACATCAACACCTGATCCTTTCATGTTTGCTTACTCTTGAAAATGTTTATCCATATCTTCTTCAGTTACCACTTGCCCTATATCCAGATTTTCTTTTTTTTTTTTAATTTTTATTTTGTGGGTGTGTGTTAAACACTCCTATCAGTAACTGATCAGGCTTCATTTTCACAATCAAATGACTCTCGGTGACACTATTTTCACTGACAGACCTTCTACCACTGTTAATGGTCACACACAAAAGGATAGCAATGCATCTCCCCTAAGAACATATACGATTACAAAATCATAACAGTATTATATCTTCATCATTATGATGATAAACAGGTAGTAAGTCCTTCTGCTAGCTAGCATGTAGCTTCTTCTTCTTGTTCACCAGCTGCAAACTTCATCTGAATGTTCTGGTTGTTCGTCCACTTTTGGAATTTCAGTTTTGAGTGAACATCCATTTTATAGATCTGGATTATTTATGTGCAGACTGTTGGTTCCTTGCCTCTCAGGCAGATGCACTCTCACTTCTAAGGAAACACCCTAATTAGTCATCTTTACCATCAAATTAGAGGGGGTAGGGGGTGTAACGAAGTTCCGGAACTCACACAGGGATGGCATGTAGCTATATTAGCACAGATTGCTGTAAATACTCTCATTCCTGTGCCAGTATATAAAACACTAAAATAAACACTGTCTACATGAAATCACATACGTGAACTTAACTATTAAAGAGTATACCTGATGTTTTCTATCTTCCTCTCTCTGTTTCTTCTTCTCCATCTCTTCCCTTATCTTCCGCTCCTCTTTAATTGCTTTCTCGAGTTCTTTTTGTACCTAGAATTAGACATTTAATTTACACTCAACATTTTGTGAGCAAATTATTCAGGTGTGCATAGTTAAATGAAAACATTACCCATCAATTTGCAATTTGCTAATAATACAGGTAATAAGGGTCTAGCCCAATTTGCCCAATGACATGGAAAGGAGTCTTTACGTTTTTTTTATAGCTTTGATAATTAATAAGACACTGTTAACCATACTTCTGAATATGCTATTTTGTAGCAGGTACCTTTTCTTCTTTCCAGACAACAATGTTTCACTGTGCTATGGGAGAGCATGGGACGGGACACACAGCACATGGCAATGGCGAATGTGACTAGTAAGACCCACCTGCATTAAATAGTCTTCCACATTTAGAGTATGGGACAGTTGTTGCTATCGCAGATTTTTAGTGTGCTTCAGCAGTTAACCATTCTTGCAACCCTTTTCTTCTCCATTCCCTTCCTGATGTTCCCTCTCCATACAACACAGGTTATGGCATTATGTCCCCATGAATCTACCTCAATAAATGTATCGTTCATGTCCCACTTGCACGTGTCTGTATTTGGTAGTAGAGGCCAGCCTCGACATCTTCTACCCATCTATAATTCACCATAGGGGACATCCTTGAAAACTCTACCATCCTCCATTCTCCACGTGTGCCCCAGCCACCTGAGTCTTCAGAAACTGAGAACTGAGAAAACTGCTGTGACGTGATATTGTTACATTTCAACCAGATGACAATGTTACATGTAATTTCAAACACAATATTATCGCAGCACATGGTACCATTTCTTGAAGTGTACACCAGTGGTATTTCTTCTTCTTCTGCATTCACCCATAGAAGGGTGGTTGGCACACAGTGCTGCGGTTTTACAGCCAGGCTGAGACACCCATGTCCAACACATCTGATTTCAGCAAACTCGATAGTAGTCTATTTTATTTAGTGCCCCAAAATGAGGCCCTAGAACCCACAAGGTGACAAAAGAGTTTTAATAAGGACTGAGCCCTGTGTGGGTTCCAGGCCCCATTGTAGGGAAAACAACAACAGACCCACTGCCTGCCCAGCAAGCATGTTGTAAGAGTCGACCAACTCGGGGAATAATTTGAAATCAGAATGCATCTGACTGAGAGGCAAGAAACCAACAATCTGCATACATGTAAGTCAGATCTGTAAAATGGATGTGCATGAAACACTCAGGTTCTCGAACAAGACTAAAGTCCAGGGGTGGATGAACAACCAGAACTTTTTGCCAGAGTTTACAGCCAGTGAACACAAAGAACAAGAACAAGAAGGACTGAACAAATAAATGCTCCTGACCCCTGACATTCCCCACATAGTGGGTATGTTTATTTCCATTTCTAAATGTCATTACAAATACTTAGTAACTGGTGCCTGAGCAAAACAAACGGAATAAAATATTATGGCAGAATTCAACACTCAACAGTTATGGAAAAGGCAAGACGGGCATAAAATCCCACTACTACAAGGGAAAGGCAAGACTGACATACAGTCTTACTGCTATATGGGAAAGGCAATATGGACATACAATCCGACTGCTATGTGGAAGAGGCAAGACGGACAAACAATCCGACTGCTACAGGGGGAAAGGCAAGATGGACATACAGTCCAACTGCTATATGGGAAAGGCAAGACGGACATATAATCCGACTGCTACAGGGTAAAGGCAAGACGACATACAATCTGACTGCTACAGGGGAAAGGCAAGACAGACATACAATCTGACTGCTATAGGGAAAAGGCAAGACCGACATACAATGCGACTGCAACAGGGGAAAAGCAAGATGGAAATACAATCTGACTGTTACAGGGGAAAGGCAAGACAATCATACAATCTGACTGTTACAGGGGAAAGGCAAGACAATCATACAATTTGACTGCTACAGGGGAAAGGCAAGACAATTCATACAATACTGACTGCTATTGGGACAGGGGGACAAGGCAAGTAAAACAGACATACACTGCTACAGGGGAAAGGCAAGATGGACATACAATTTGACTGCTACAGGGGAAAGGCAAGACAATCATACAATTTGACTGCTACAGGGGAAAGGCAAGACAATCATACAATTTGAATGCTACAGGGGAAAGGCAAGACAATCATACAATTTGAATGCTACAGGGGAAAGGCAAGACAATCATATGATCTGACTGCCACAGGGGAAAGGCAAGACAATCATACAATTTGAATGCTACAGGGGAAAGGCAAGATGAACATACAATCGGACTGCTACAGGTACCATCAGAAGGAGAACTGTGCACTCATGGAATTTCCAGAGTACAGTAATGTCATTTCTGATGTCAGTTCTTAACTCAGCTCTACTCATGCGAAACCTTATGGACAGAACTAAATAATTTTAGCAAATCAAGAAGTGAGAAAAAGACACTGATGCTGGGTACAATATATACTGAGAAAACTGTTTCAATTAGGGCTGTACCGAATAGGGATCTTCACTATTCAGCCGAATATGAATAGCGGGACCAAGTATTCGGCCGAATACGAATAAGAATAGTGTATCATCATCTTCAGGTGCCTTGCCAACTGGTGTGGGCCTTGCCACAATCTGTGATCTCCTGCAGCATGTATTAGTTCGTGTGACGACACACCTCCATGCCATGCAACAAGACTGTCAAGAATCTTTTCTCTTATGTCTTCATCTATCCCTCCTTCCCCAGATCTTTCCAGTGGTCACCACAGGTTCCATTTTCCCTCTTCTCATAACATGGCAAAAAAATAATGACTGTCTCCTTCTGATGTCTGTGATTAGTTGTCTTTGGGCTTCCGCCTCTTTCAAAACCTCTTGGCTGCTTTTTTTTGGGCTGTCCAAGGTATTTTAAGCATTGTTCTGTAAAACCACATCTCTGAGGTTTCAAGAAATTGTTTGGCCTGCCTACCGATTGTCCAGGACTCACAGCTATATGTTAAAACTGGATGCTGTACCACGCAACCGGGCCGCAGTTGCCCCCGCTACGACAGATTTAGGTAACAGCAACTATTGTGTTAATGAGAGAGTTATTTCGGTCTATCGCAGTGTATGCAGAAACGGGTGTAAGGTAACCACTATCCGTATTCGGCCCGACCGCAAGTATTCGGCCGAATACAGAATAGTTATTAGGTCCACTGCCCCGAAACGAATACGAAGCGAATATACGGTACAGCCCTAGTTTCAATAGTATAAGCAGAAAGTCCTTTCTCTGAAAACTCACAGGACAAACAAATGTGTACAAAGAAAAGAACTGGAGCTGGGGATAAATATGACGTGGAAGTGTGTGGAGCTGCAGGAGGTGGTAAATGAGTTTACAGTTTGGTGTGAGTTTACTGAGAGACTGCATCAATCAGGGACAAATGGCAGAAGTAGTCTTATGGCACTTATAATGGATTATATGTTGTGGCTTAATTGACAGGGTCTATGTTAAATATAATTACATAGTTAAACTATAAAATGAAAACACTATAAATCTTACAACAAACACTGAAACATACAATAGCATATAACTAAGAAACAGTATACATTTCAAACATGGAATTACCCACATGCAACAACAAATTATATATTAAAATGTTACTTTTGTACAATAAACAAAAATAAATGCACTAATCTGGTGCAGGTTCTTACTCTCCAAGCATTGATTTGGTTCAGTTTTTCTGCCTTTTCTTCGGCTGTAAGAGTGTGCTTCTTTGTGTCTTCTTCTTTCTGTGACTCCAACTGACTTTGAACTTGAGAAATAGCATCTTCTTTGTCTTCCTAAAAGAGACAATTAGTTTTTCAGCATTTTAAAAAAAACCAACCTGCAAGATGTTTTTCACTCATTTAAACACAATAGGTCCATAATGTTTTGCCAGGTTACTCAGTCCACAGGCTTTGAAACATACGACACCATAAATCTAACTTAGTAAAACATATGGCACTATCCATCTAACTTAGTGAAACATATGACACCATAAATGAAACTGAGTGACTGTCTATACACTTAACAGCAGTCCATGTAGTGGTTTCATATCATATTTCACATTAAACTGACAGACTTTCATGCTTGAACTCTTTGTCAATCAGTCGGTTACTGTCTTCACAATGAAGGCTGGCAACAATGCATATCCAATATTCTCCATCTCTAGCCCTGTGCACTTTCAAACTTGTGTTTATCCATTTCTGGATGGTATCTCCCCACTTAACCACTGTCTGTCTTTTGCTCACTTGTCTGCTTTTTAAAGTGTGCTGTGTCTTCTAATCTGGTCTTAATAACCAACTTGGGATTTTTTTTTCATTCTCCACTTTTGTTATTCCATCTTTCCAAAACGTATATATCTGATTGCCTTTGCCACCATGAATATGGTTTATTTTTATGTACAACATAATTCCAAGGCCCCTGTTAGTTAACTGCACATTTAACTGATAATCCTTGTTGATTGTTTCCAGAATTTGATAGCGCATAAACATATATTTTAATAAGAAATACCATTAGAAATAAAACAAACAATTTCTGGCATGACTTTTCCCATGAATTTCTTGACTGTATTTTTCTCCTCCCATCTCAATACCACCCACACATGCCATAAATGCAGTGGGATGCACTGCTTATCAACCACTGTCTATTTTAACAAATGAGAATAAAGGTGTGGGTTAAAAGCCTCTCAGCAATCAGAAATAGAAAAAATGCAGACTAAAATAAATCAATAATTTTCATGACTAATTAAGACTGGACTTCTTCAGAAACGACTTTGAGCTCTCAGTTCGACCCAGCTCTAAATGGGTACCAGTAAATATCACCCACTGAGTGCTGAATTGTCTATAAAATATAGGTCTAGCACTATATGCCAAATGCGCCAGATAGTGTGAAAAAGGCCCTTACTTTACTCAATAAGACTGCTGAAATCAGGTATATTGCAGCAAAAGGTACAGATATCACAGTCTAGCTCAGGGCTATTCAACTAAGTTTACCAAAGGACCAAAATGCTGAAAATAGGGTTTGTCATGGGCCAAAAGCCCAAACCCCAGCATAGAAAGATTATTAATATAATACAACTAGCAGTTGTCTTCGGACCACTTGTTAGACCTCTGCGGGCCACATCTGACCCACAGGCCACCAGTTGAATAACCCTCGTCTAGCTGCAAGGACAACATAACCTGCCAACTGCCCTTTTAGGGGTGAAAGTAGAAGAAGAAGATTAAGGTTTCCATATATCCATTTGTGAATCGTCACTAAGAGGTCCAGGCAAGGTGCTGAGATTCTCCATGTGTGATCTATGAAAAGATGTTGTGATCTATGCAAAGACTGTTGCACTCATGTGTGATCTATGCAAAGACTGTTGCACTCATGTGTGATCTATGCAAAGACTGTTGCACTCATGTGTGATCTATGCAAAGACTGTTGCACTCATATGTGATCTATGCAAAGAATGTTTCCCTCATGTGTGATCTACGCAAAGACTGTAGCACTCATGTGAGATCTATGCAAAGACTGTTGCCCTCATGTGTGATCTACGCAAAGACTGTAGCACTCATGTGTGATCTATGCAAAGACTGTTGCACTCATGTGTGATCTATGCAAAGACTGTAGCACTCATGTGTGATCTATACAAAGACTGTAGCACTCATGTGTGATCTATGCAAAGACTGTAGCACTCATGTGTTATCTATGCAAAGACTGTTGAACACATGTGTGATCTATGCAAAGACTGTTGCACTCATGAAGTTATCTTAGTGTGCAAAATAACCCTTTTCTTTAAAAAAAAAAAATAACAAAAACATTTTAGGAAACAGCAATGTATTATTACCTCTTTCTTTTCTCTCCATTTCTTGACTGCATATTTCTTGCTCTCATAGAGAAATGTGTACTCTTGAAACCAAGCCTCATGTTCCCTGATCTCAGTCTCTGTGTGTAAGGGCAGCAGTGGTTTCACATGGTCCAGAAAAACTATCCTACCCTGTGAAACACAGGAGTGTTCATTTAATCACTAGAAGACTGGAATCAGTGAAATAAGTCTATTTTGGTAACTTCTTCTCTCCACTGTAAATTCTTATGGACTGGAGAGAATGAGACACCTGGGTCTGGTCAGCTCACTACACTCAGAGGAAAGGCAAGTTGGACATATAACCAGATTGTGACCAGTTCCATCAGTATTGGAACTCTGCGCTGGCTGCTGAAGATGAGGATGGAGCATGCATGGAAATGCCCCGACTGCTGTGATGTCATTTCTTGACTTACTCAACTCAACCACTGTAAATTCTGGCAGAAAGTTTTGGTTGAATACCTGTGTCTGGAGTTTGGTTTTGATCCAGGATTTGAATATTGGGTGCACATCCATTTTACAAATCTGGCTTATTTATGTACAAGCTGTTGGCGCCTCATCTTTCAGACGGATGTGCTTTGACTTTTAAGTAAATGCCAATTCTATATATGCAGACAGATCATGACCAGTATAAGCCCTGATCATGGTGCACCCCTGTAGGTGGTGATTCACCTTTGTATCCCATATTGTGTTTATGTAGTAAACACTGTACATCCACATCTACTGTAATTGTAATGTCTATCTCACTTTTACTGTACACAAATGTAGTACTGTAAATTCCCATATAATAGGATTGTGACTATTCATTCTTTTTTCTTTCGTCCTATTTCTTATGCCAAAAAGCATCATAGATCACAGAGAGAAGTAGCACTCTGTCCCCAAGTTGTGCGAATTTTTTATTTTTTTGTAAGCCTCACCCTGTTTGTTGCCAGGGGACCTAATATAACCTAACGGTTGAACAGGGTTTCTGGGACCTCTCTACAGGCAATCCTCATCCGAATGGTGGCACTTTGTGTCACTGTGTGTTTATCGCTTGGTGGATGTCCTGGCGGGGTTAAATCTCACTCACAGAGACGAGTGCTAATGTCATATTGCATTTCTGTAGTGTCTATTCTTCTTCTTCTTCTTCTGCCTTTCTATCCCCCAATGGAGCATAGGCCCTCAACCAACTCACGCCAAGTCATTCTATCCTTCGCCATTACATGTAGCTCTCCCCATGTCCTCCCAATCTTTCTAACCTCATTCTCCAGCTCTCTTCTCCATGTGTTTTATGGCCTTCCTTTATTCCTATGCCCCTGTGGGTTCCATTGTTCTCCCTATATCATAGAGAGTTCTAACATTCCAGGTGCCAATTCTGGAGGTTTTCCTAGCTGAGAGGAGGTAAGTCAACGATCCGGACTCCTTACGGCTTTCTCCACACCGTGTCATGCTTCTTCTATTTGAAGAGCCTCCCCTCATCTTGGTTGGCTGGATTTTATTTGCTTCTCTTTTTGACTTATCCATGGTTGGTTGGTTTTTGTGGCTATGGTTTTTACAGGATGAGGTAGCCAACCTCAAGCCCAACCCTACCCTTAGTCGCCTCTTACGACATGCCTGGTAGGGTGCAGTGTCACTATTCTTTGCTTATCGTGAGGGCCCCGGTGAGTGTCTCTTCTACTCTTGCCATTCATCTCTTTCTTGGTTGGCCTCTTGCCATGTAGCCTGCTATTTTCATGTAGAGCGCTCTAGCTGACGGCTTATTTTGTTTTGTTTAGACCAGATGACCACACCATTTGATTCTTTGATATTCTAAGAAATCATTTATCAGTATTATGTCTTCCACTGTTTTTAGTTCTTCACTGTACCTGTTTCTTCTAGTTTTTCCTGCTGCATTTATTGTACATCTCATTTCACATTTTGCATTGTCTGTCTAGGCTGTCCATGTCTGGCACTGACAGTACAAAGATGGTGTGAATAGCGCATTTATTAGCTTTTTTTGTTTTTAACCACATAATTTTCATTTATTTACATTAAAATAAGATTGTGATAATTCCTGCAAATACCCTGTGTGGGTTCTGGGGCCCTGTTATAGGTAAAACAAGAACAGACCCACTGCCTACCCAAAAGCATGTAGTAAGAGTCTACTAATTGGGAGCTTCCTTCAAAGTCAGAGTGCATCTGCCTGAGAGGCAAGGAACCAGCAGTCTGCATACAAATGAGTCAGATCTGTAAAACAGATGCACGCGCAACACTTAGGTTCAGGAACGGGACTGGTATTCCAAGTACTGAAGTGGGAAATGATTTCACTACCCACTAAGCCATAAAGCCATTAAAGTGTGTACTCATATATTATTACAAAAATAACAAAGAAAATATTCATTAGTTGGCATCTGTGGCTTAGGTGTTGTGAACTCGCTTCGTAATGCCAGGGTGCCGGGTTCAATCCATGCTGTGGATGATTTGTCTTGCGCTGGGTTTGACAGTGGTACTGAGAGCTGACCGTTCAGAAAGCAATGACAAACAACTGAACATAAAATTTGTCTAGAAAAACCACAACAGCCAATAAATACTGGGGTTGGTTCTGTTGTAAAGGATACGCAACTAACTTTAATATTCATTAACAAGCAAGTCACATATTCTGTTGATGTTAACCTACTTTGTACATATTTCTGTATCTCAGGAAGGTCTGATGATCCTGTTCATCCCAACCACCTTGATGTCCTCCACTTTGTTGCACAAATTTCTGGGGTCCCCAAAAGAAAATGTGTTTATATATACAGTAACATCTTGTTAACATGAATACTAAGAGAGTTTGTGTTAAAAAAAATTTGTTTAAATATACAGTAACATCTTGTTAACATGAATACTTAGAGAGTTTGTGTTTTAACAAATTTGTTTATATATACAGTAACATCTTGTTAACATGAATACTTAGAGAGTTTGTGTTTTAAAAAATGTATGCTACCTAGGGACTAATATCAATAACACATTAATCCTTGGAAAATGTAACATCAACTTGGTTTTTCAAAAGCTGTTTGGTTCACACACAAACACCCTAAAATACAATACAGTAAAATTTAATTAACAAGAATTCTAAGGGACTGAAAATTGCATCCCTGTTATTAAAAAATGTGGGATTACCAGGGATTAAAAACAATAATACATCACAGCTGGGACAAAAAAACTGTGTATATGTTATCTGAGTGTTCTTCTTAACCCAACAATGTTTTTTTTTTAAATGGGCTGTGAGCCTGTGGGAATTCCTGGGAAACGCATTTGTATAAACACCACAGCAGGATTTTACACAGGTCACTAATACATTTGTTTTTAAATTTATTTATCAACTTTTTAATTATTTTTTTCAAATAAATACATTAAGAGAGTTATCAACGAACATGAACAGGGGTAGCACTAAATAGAATACCTTTTGTGGGGCCACCAAAAAAACAGGTACTATGTTACATGAGGAGGTGACGCATCCCATGATCTCCATCAATGTGGCTTATGGGAAAATTTGACATAAACTTGGCTTGATAAAAGCTAGTTAGTTCATAGAAAAACACCATAAATGTTTTTTTAGCATAATAATCTCCTAAACGCTCGTGCAAGTACAA